GGGACGGGTCTGTCACTGTATAACACTGGGGTACAGTACCGGTGGGGGACAGGTCTGTCACTGTATAACACTGGGGTACAGTACCGGTGGGGACGGGTCTGTCCCTGTATAACACTGGGGCACAGTACCGGTGGGGATGGGTCTGTCGCTGTATAACACTGGGGTACAGTACCAGTGGAGGATGGGTCTGTCGCTGTACAAAACTGGGGTACATTACCGGTGGGGACGGTGTGACACTGGGGCACGGTACGTTGGGGACGGTGTGACACTGGGGCACGGTACGTTGGGGACGGTGTGACACTGGGGTGCAGTACTGGTCAATGCTCTCTTCTCTTGCTGCTCCAGATAAGCTGCGAACCTGATTAAACCTAGTGATCAATGCTCTGTCCTCCACCTGTGAACTTCCCATCCTTCCCATCCTGCCCATCCTCTGTTGGCTTCCTCAGGGCAATTCCTGGAAGAAGGAGTTTCCAACTGTCCCCGCTACAGGGGTTGGGGCTCAGGGTAAGTGAGTACGCAGGTGAACGTGTCCCTTCTCATGACCTGATCCTCTCCATCACCCTGGTTATGTGATTCCCACGGGATTGCGGGGGAATGTGTGATGTATTTATCAGTCAGTTTTTCACCTTTGAATCTCGCTGTGACAGCTCTGGTGAATTGACACACCAGCGTTATCTTCCCACGTTGTACCCAAACGTGTTGCTTCCAGCCTATCTCCGTGACACAATCGTGTTTCAGTCTACTGCAGTCCCCTCCCAGGGGGTTTTCTGAGGGAGGTACAAAGATCAGGACTGTTTCCATTCACAGTTGACACTTAAGGCTCCTGTAGGCAGAGCCTTTCTCCTACAGTTACATGGGCTATACCTGAAAACCGAGCAGAACCGGCTCGAAGTAATTCCCAAGTCAGGCAGCCTGTTTGGAGAGACACAAAGATGTTTGAAATTGCTGACTTTATCGTGCTGTCCCTGGCCTGGGAGTGTTAGGTTGGGGACAGTGGAGAGGGAGCTTCACACTGTATCTAAGCCTGTGCTGTCGCTGTCCCTGGGAGTGTTTGATGTGGGGGACAGTGTAGAAGGAGCTTTACTCTGTATCTAACCCCGTTTTGTACCTGTCCCTGGGAGTGTTTGATGCGAGGACAGTGTAGAGGAAGCTTTACTCTGTATCTAACCCCATGCTGTCCCTGACCTGGGAGTGTTTGATGCGAGGACAGTGTAGAGGGAGCTTTACTCTCAAATATTAGAGAGATGCTGCCTTTCAGTTTTAAAGAGTAGAGGGGGCTCTTCCAACAGCACCTAGAAGCGGTGGGGGGTTCCTGCCAAGCGACACCTCTCCCTTTACTGTTTACCTTCAATTTGAAACGAGGACGGACTGTGGGGTTTGGGGTGGGAATGCATCTGCCTGTGCCGTGGCGCACGCAGGCAGAAGCGGTTGCGTTTGCTTGGCGCCTGGTGCATCCCGGGAGCATGTCCTAAAGCTGCGGAGGAGGAGGAAAAGTGTGGCAGCACTGGAGGTCCCGAGCGGTTTTGGGGACGTTGTCCCGGGGTAGACTGTCTGGGGTTGGCACGTGGTCAGGGCTCCTGGCGTAAACTCCTTCCTTTCTCCTTCTCTGCAGGAAGACTCCATCTCCCGCTTCTGACCCGTGCCAGGGTGCGTGGCCCTTCCTGGTGAAACCGGTGCCGGTCTCTTCCAACCGGTAAGTTGCGAGCCGCTGGGGTGTTACAATTCACCCGGTGTCCCACACCTTCCACCGCCAGGGCCCTTTGTATCTTCCCATCCCTACACATGGAAGCAGGCCATTCGGCCCATCAAAACCACGCCGATCCTATCCACCACCATCTCTCTATCCATCTCTGTAACTCTGTATTTTCTATGGCTAGCCTACCCTAACCCACACGTCCCTGGGCACTGTGGGTAATTTAGCACGGCCAACCCACCCTAACCCGCACATCCCTGGGCACTATGGGACAATTAGCACGGCCAATCCACCCTAACCCGCACATCCCTGGGCA